AGGAAAATGCTACACACATTTTGTAAATAAGGAAAGAGGCTTTCAGAGGCAAAAGTGCTTTGTTCAGAATCACACAGCTAGGATGTAGGTGAGCGGTGATTGAACTGGTTTGTTTACCTCCAGAACCTGTGGTTCTTGCTACTTCCTTGGCAAATGCTTTGACCTTTCCATCTCAGTAGTAGTCTTGGGCAGAAAACAAAACTCTTTACCACAGTGTAATAAGTTTAGTTCAGAGTTTCAAAGATGAGTGGCTAGGAAGAAAACCTAACCTACATTGCTTACCTGAGAATTTCAAGATGAAGCCCAGGCGGTTGGGGTAGCTTTGTGTGGTTACAACAAAGTATCTGTTGGTCTAGGTGTCCTGGGCGGGAGAGCATCCATTATGATGCTGTTTAGCAACTCAGATTCAGTTCTTTATTCAGTCACCCAAGAACCTTCATTGTTAGCCCTTTCTTACCCAGGGATGCATTCCCTCAGGTTGTAGGCAGGATAGGTGAGGACCCCTGGCACACTATTGGCACACTATTCCATACTAGGCTTCCAGAACTCTCAGGGGCCCCTGCTCAATGCCTTTCCAATGTCTTATATCCCTTCTCCGTCTTAGCCCTGGCTCTAGAGTGTCAGAGCGGCCTGAGCATCCGATTCCAAGGGTTAGGTCAGCCAAAGCAAAGCTCTTTGGATCTTAGTGCACAAAGTCAGAGGGGCCCTAGAACAGTCATATCTCTCTAGTGGAAACATAGGATGTTGAAGAGGTGGACTTGGCCATAGACCAGGATTTCCCACACTTCATGCTCAATTCTGGTGGGCTGGTGACTTTCCCTTTGTTTTGGGGCATTCTGGGGCTACTCTCTTCTAGAGTTGGAGAGGCTCCCTGCCTCATACCCTCAACAGGCAGGAATTGGAGACCTGAACACACCCTGAGATCAGTCTTGTTGATGCTGCTTAGTCAGGAGATTCTTGGGACAAGAAAATATTCTGGCCTAGGGAGTCAGGCCTGTTTTCCTATCTTGCCACTTGTTAGCAACTTGAACAAGGGCCTTGATGGCTTTAGGCTTTGGGTTTCTTTGTCGATTAAAATGGGGAAATGCAACCTTAGTTTCAGGATATAAGTGTAAACAACCCTGCTTGTGTAAGGTACCTGGCTCTGAGCTAGACCTAGAGTACATGCTCTAAATTGTAACATATCACCTGTCATCTGTGTTGTCCTTTGCTACCTTCATGAGTGTCCCATCAAGTTCAGCACCCTGCAGTGGAAAACCCTTATTTCAGTAGGCTCCCTTCTCCCTCCCCATTTAACTGGTCCCAGAGTGGACATCTCTGATCCTGCTGTTGTATCCTGAGTGGAACTGGAGGGAACACAGTCCCTTGTTTTGACCCTTTCCTGCTTCAGTGACAGGAGGGCTGCGGAGAGGGATTAGTGAGCTAATTAGAAATGATTGCATCTCTCAGCATTAATTAGCAGTGCTGTGGGCTTGCAGTGTGCACTTTGGAACTGAGCCCCCTGCGGGACGGCATGGCAGGCAGCCCTCTCCCTTGGGCCTGCCCACCCCTTTGCACTGATTAGAAGTGATGGAACAGGTTTGGGTGGGCACAGTAAGGGCTGCCCTCTCCAGGTGCCCTGGACCTTCTGAGCTAGCCATGCAAGGGCTGACCCAGACCTCTTGATCCTTTATGACTGGACCTCAGTCTCCTTGCCTGTAAGATGGGACCAGTGGGCATCAGAGAAGTTCCTCCTGGCTAATTCTAGGTAGGATGTTAGGGATCCTCAGGCTGTTGGCCCTAGAGCAGTTTTAATTGATGAATCCCCCTGGGAAGGATGTTGCGGAGAAAGGTCTGGAATTACAAAAGAGCCTGTGGTCTTGGCCCTTGAGAAGATACCTAGCAACATGGAGCATCTTTGCCTGTTGGGCTCATTGAGCACTGCAGATAGGTATGGGTTGAGCTTGAGCCAACTGTGGCCAGAGAATGGACACTTCCATAGCCCAGCACTGGTCTCCTCTCCAGGTGCTCTTGGCAAGACTCAGACCCCAAAGAGCAGGAGGCTCAGCAAAACGAGGGCCAGAACAGGCACTGAACGAAAGGACTGGTGGCTGGCGGCTGGCAGCATGTCAGGCTGTGTCTGCTCCACTGGGACCGTGAGCTTTGGTGCCAGTCTGCTTATTCTGTGCTTTATTTTCGGTCTCCCATGCAGCTCGGATTGGGAAAATGAAACGGAGGAAGCAAGATGAAGGGCAGGTATGTCCCCTGTGCAACCGCCCCCTGGCAGGATCGGAACAGGCGATGAGTAGGCATGTGGAGCATTGCCTTTCTAAGGTAGAGGGGCCATTGCCACCTATCTTCCTTCCCCCCTCTTCCCGTGACGGCGGCTGCTGACTGTCCCCAAATCTGTGGGCTCTTGGGATCTCCATGTGGTCTCAGCAGCTTCTCTGTTCTTTGCTTTCTTCCTTTGCTTTAACTCTCGCTCACTACCCCCTTGGGCTCCAGTGGTAAATTATTGGGAAGAGTCCCAGGTCTTTGACCTCTGGATTTCTTTTACAACAGAGGAACCCTAGAGCTGGGGCCCCATCTACCATGTTGCAACAGGAGCTAGGGCTTGTGCCCTCCCTCCTTGCAGGCTCTGGGGAGCAGTAGGGATGGCCCAGGCCCTGCATGATCCTGCTCTGCTCTTCACAGAGGGAAGGCTCCTGCATGGCTGAGGAGGATGCCGTGGACATCGAGCATGAGAACAGCAATCGCTTTGAGGAGTATGAGTGGTGTGGGCAGAAGCGGATACGGGCCACCACTCTCCTGGAAGGTGGCTTCCGAGGTACAAGCAGCCAACATATAAGCAGTAACAGTCTGATAGTCAGGGCCGGTGGCTGGTCATCCGTGCTACATGGGAACTGCTGCTGGTTGGGCTCCTTTGTGACCAGGCTGCCTGCCTGTGATGCGCATATTAAATGGATGTGTTTGGGTGGGGAAATGGAATTGTGAAGCGCAAGCTAGGAGTGACGAGGGGGCTCTCAGCCTCGGGTGATGCATTGAAGGTGACAGCCAAGCTGCGTTAGCACCTGCATAAAATATTAAAGGGACGGTTATGCATTTATCACTCCATCCCTCTTAAGGCTGATAAATGAGAATCCAGCAACCTGCTGTACACCTCCAGCGCTGGAGGCCCTGAGGGCTTCCAGGCAAACACATTGGATTTTCCTCCTCCTCCTCAACCCTGTGTCAGTGAAATCAGTTACAGAGGAGAGAGTGAGTTATGGCAAAATTTGACCTCCCATGAGCTTCATTGGTGAATCTAATTTTAACTCTGATCCCATCCCTTCTCCCTGGGCACCCTCTGCCCTGAAGCAAGAAGGACCTGGGCCCAGCTGCTCCTTGCTTCCCCTGGGCTCCCCCCAGTTGCTGCTGAGCATTGTGCCGGACCCTGTGCCCTCCCAGCTGCTTGAAGGGACATGGCTTGGCCCCTCCACCCTGTCCGATAGCAGAATTGGCTGGATGCCCAAGTTTAGTGTCCTCTTGTCAAACACCCCTGCCATGGCAGAGGAAAGGGGAGCCGTCTGCCTCCTGGCCTTCAGCTCTTCCCTCATCAGCACAAGCACAGCTGGCACCACAGCTTGCGGTCATTAAGGGAGCCAGTCTGCTTCCCGTCTGTCTCCCGTTCCTAGGCAACACCCTTGGGAGTACCACTGCATATGGTCCCCGGGGAATCTCACAGCAGCTGGGAAGAAGGTCTTGTCTCCTAGGGGCCATGCTGCCGAGGCTTATGCTGAGGAGTAGGCTTCATGGTGCCATGCAGTGTAGCCTGGCCATGGGAAGGGGCTGAGAGCCCAGGTGGGGTGTTATGTCTTTAGGCTTCTCACATTACCCATATGTCTGAAGACAAGCCAGAACATAAATAAGGAGGGTTAAGCCACACTGTCTCCCTGAGCCTGAGCTGCACAGTGTCAGTTTCCTTTGCTCTCTGGTCCTGTGCAGGGTCTGTACCATATCTGGGACCCCAGAAGAATGAACAGAGCCCATGAGCCCAGGAATTGGGCACACAGGCGTGTGGTGGCGTGCTGCTCTGGATTAGTGCTGATGGCAGCTACAGCTATTCACATCGTTCGTTGCTGTGGCAACTTTTCAGTCAGGTTTCTTGCCATAGAACCAGACCTGATGGTTTCTGAGGACCAGACAGGACTTGAGGTGTTGAAGTTGCACAGGGCCTGCAGATTTGGCAGTCTCTCTCCCCACACTGGGATGTACTTTCGGAGCAGTATGAGGGCTCTCAGGCCCTGGGCGGGTGTCAGTTTTCCCTGAGTGTTTACACTGCGAAGTTGTTTCTTTCATGAATTCCTGAGGAGAGTTCAAAGGGGGCTTTTCTTTGAGCGATCTGGAGAGCGAGAATGAGAGTGAGACTTGAAGAGGGAACGGCCAGAGGTGCCTTTATCTGCAGAGAATTGCTCCAGCTTTCCTGATAGAAGCTGCTGCCGCCTCTTAAACAGCTTAGTGCAGTCAAAAGACAGGCTGACTTGAAAGGCTGTTTTACAGAGAGATCAGCGGGGGCCACCACGCAGAGAATGGGGCACAGTAGAGCGCAGGAGACTGAGCCTCCTCCGTGGGGGAGGAGCTATCAAAGGGAGGCCTGGCTGATCCCTGTGGCTCTGCCCCTGAAACCCTGTTTGCAAGAGCTGGCCATCTGTCAGCCTACCCTCCCTGGCCAAGGCTAGTGGACCCAGCTCTTGGGGGGTTAGGTGTGGCCCCGCCAGGCAGGCTGGTGTCAGTGCAGTGCATTGATCGCCCGCCGGGCGGGCCAGGCCGCAAGCCGGGCAGCGCGTGCTTAATGTGATTGAAAGGCAGTTAAAATGGCGGTGACCTTTTCAGGAGGAATTAGATTGCCTGCCAAGACCGGTTAGAGGGAGTGATAACGCCAGCTGAAGAAGCTGCCCAGCTGACTTCAGAGAGAGGGAGGCAGAGGCAGGATGCGCAGGCGAGTGGTGAGGCCCATTTAAGCTGTACCGAGCGCACTTACGGAACAGAGATTGCTGTCCTTGTTAGATATGAAAGGATTGAAGAACTGCAGATAAGTTGTTGTATCCGATCATCCTCTGTCCCTCGTCCTGGACTGGGACCTGTTCTTCATCCTCAGAAAAGCTTCCCAGCAGGCCTACTGGGAGAGCCCATCTGATGGGTCAGATGGGTTGCCCTGAATGTGACCTTCTGTGGGAAGCGGTGGGTAAGCAAGTGTTTTGGTGGAGACACTTGGCTGAGGCAACGGGCCTTCAGGTCAGAGACCTATGGTTACTGAGGATGAGGCCCAGACATCAGGCCTAGAAGTGCTTGGAATTGGTATTTTAGGACAGTGTGAAAGACCAGACAGAAGAGGAAGTTAGGCTCAACTGGAAGTAGGTATTTTTTAAAAGACCCAAGGAAATAGGTAAAAATTTTATGAACTAAGTTGGAAGAAGCTTTTGTTATAAAGGAAACCTGTCCACAGTTTTAGGAGAAATCCCTAGGCTTCATGCCTAATCTGCTGACTCTCCTTTCAGAACCCAAAGGTTTCTAACCTCTAGTGCTGTTTGCAAAGAGGTTAGCACACAAAACCTAGTCCTTCACCTGAAAGAGATCAGCAGTATAGGAGAAAAAGATGGTCTTCTGGGGCACCCTGCTAAACCTGTGCAGAACAGGCTTTTCCCAGGCTAGAAAAGCATGCTGCAGGAAACCTGCCCTGGAGCCAAACCTGTCCCTACCCACAATCAAAGGACAAAGGTGATGAACATGTCATGGTACGCCTTTTCTCTGCCTGCTACCTCCACTGCTCCTGCAGAAGAGACCTGTGAGGCTTCCCTTGTTTTGGTTCCCAGTGGGAGCTCACCCAGCTGGACTTGGGGAACCCAGAGCTTATTACATCTGGAAGAGACAGACTGGAGAAAGGATGTGGGAACGACTGGTTTCAAATAAAGTGGCAGTAATATTACGGGCATGAGAGTGGTGAGGTAGAGGGGTTTCCAGGAGGCTGCACAAGAAGTGTAAGATGTCTGCAGCTCTGTTTTTAAACCGTAGGTGAATTCACTGCTGAAATCCAGCAAGAAGCCCCTTTGACATAGGTGCAGTGGGGAGGAGAAGAATGCGAAGACATTCGGCTATGCAGGGCTTCTGCTCTGCCAGATCCTGGTTTAGGGACCGCATCTTTCTCGAGTTCCTGTCTCAGATTAGAGTGGTTCCGAAGTACCCTAGAATGAGAGATCATGGAGAGAGCGGCAGGCAGGCAGCTTTGGTGATGCTCTTGTAGTGAGCTGTTGATGAGACTTCAGCACCAGAGTACATGCCAAGTGGCTGAGAGGTAAAGGCTCAGGTGTGTGGACCTCACCCCTACTGCTGCTTCCTTTGGCGTGTTGGTTCTCAAAAGATAGGAACCTCAGTGCCAAGATGTCCCCACGCAGCTCTGCAGCTTGGTTCTGTCAGTGACTTGTTGGAACAACGCACCACTAGAGGCAAGCGTGGGGTAGAGAAGAAGGTAAGGGGTGGCAGCCTCTCGTTCCCCACAACCTTCAGTTATGCCTGTCGCCTGGTAGCTGGGGTGAGAGATGAGGTACAAGGAGCAAGGTGCCTTCCGTCCCCTGTGGCAAGGAACTGGATTTAATCGCCTCTGGAACACAATTGTTAAGCTGGGACAGAGGGCGCGCAGGCAGAAGGAGCAAGTATCAATGGTTTTAAACGGCGTCTGTCTCTGTGCGTCTCTCCTGACGTGAGGCAGTGAAACGCGTTATTGAGGAGGCCCGGAAAGTGGCTAAGTGCGTTTGACACACGCCAACTCCCTGCCTCCACACTGGATAATTGCATTGTCAACTGTTCAGCGAGGTGGCAGGTGACACTGCAGGCCGATTGATTGTCCCGCATCGCAGCTCCCCAGACTGTCAGCTCCCCAATCGATGGCGTTTACACAAGACACCGTAACTGCATCTGTAACTAATTCCAGTGTAAAACTCCCCGGAAGCTGCTGCCCCTGCCCTCCCTGTTGGTGAGCGTGAGCCTGCCCTCCCTGTTGGTGAGCGTGAGCCCCAGACTTGCCTTTCTTCCTGGTCTCTGGTTCGGTTTGGGAGCAGGTGAGGAAATTGATGGCTCCTTTCTTGTGGTTTCAGGTTCCAGGACATTACTGCCCCCAGTAAATGGGCATCTCCAGTTTCTCAATCGATCATTTGATCAATCGATCAAATTAATACAGATTCCCCACCCCCCTTGGTGACCTAGGAAGAAATGAGCTTATGGGAGAATGGTCATTTTCGTAAAATTTAGACTTACATATCATTTCTGCACTTAACTCTTCCTCTCTATTGCTAAGTATTGCCAGGAGGAAGAGATTTTTGCAGTGTCCGTCCACCCAGGACAGGGTGACTCCAGCACCCACTCTGTTGGGCGTTGTTGACTGTCAGCCTTGGTTTACCTGTTGGTGGCGACCCACCCTTTTTGCCACTTTCAGGTGGGACAGAACCATAGCAAGGGGGCCTCTTACTGTTGGAGTCCAGAGGGGTTCTTGGAGCCATCTTGGAGGCCCTGGGGACCAAGTTCCTTCCCTGGACAGCAGCAGCAGAGGTGGCAGCTTGCCTGTTACTCCCAGAGCTGCACGGAAGAGGAGCCAGAGACTTGGAAAGGTGCTCTCTGTACCATCTTGCGTCTGAGTGCTGGCTTGGGATATTCCAGCAGCTGAGAACATAAAATGACTATGGAGCCTTCCTCTAAATGGGAGGGGGGGGCAAGCTGGCGGGGTGCTGTCTGCATAAAACGGCTTTATGGCCGTTTCTTTTTATTATGATTCTGCCAGAAGTCAGCAAGTGACATTTCATTAAGAAAATAAAGTTTAATGTGCTGGGAAGGAGGTTGGAGCAGGCTGGGGCAGCACCAGAGTGAAATTGGCAGCGGCAGCCTGCTCTGAACACCTGTGGGGGTAGGGAGAGGTTCCCAACATCTGTCTCAGCTGGAGGATAGAGTCAGGGTCAGGAGATTGCCCACGCCAGAGACAGAAAGGCCTTTCCTTTGACAAACAAGATGTGTCATGCTCTCTCCCTCCTGCCTCCCTGCTCAGAGGAATAGTAGGTTGCTGCCCAGCTGAACGCTAAGGTCTGTTAGGAAAGGCTTTGTACTAAGAGGCTGGGCCTGCCTTCAAGGGGTCCAGACCTCACAGCAGTGTTGCCAGTGTTTAGCCATTACCCCTGGGGTCTGTTGTGGGCCTGGCTAGCTCTGCTGGATGGTGCTCAGATCCAGCAGTGGGTCAGAACTGAGACCCTTGAAGCTTTCTGGTGAGGAGCAGTGTCAATACATGCAAATAAACATGATCTTGGAGTTGGAGAGGAGTTTGGGTAGACACCAAGGAAGAGACATCTATACTTAAGTACCTGGGGAAGTTGTGTCCACCCCTCAAAGCACCTGGGGCAGTGACGGCAGACCTTTTAGAGCTTTCAGTGATACAAACTGCGGCACACCTGGCCGAGGGAAGGGAAGCAGACCTTTAGTGTTGGGCTGAGGTCTTGCAAGCAGACCTTGCAAGTCTGTTCTCCACAGGAAGCCAGAGGCTGCACTTCATAAAGGTTCAAAGAATGTCAGAGGTGAGGTGTCCTTCCTTCCAGCACTATGAGTTATGGCAGAAGGGTTGAGCTGAGCCAGACCTGCCAAATGGGTAGGCACTGGTTTTGTAGACCAGCAGGGGAAAGATTCTAGATGTGACAGGAGGTACAAAGGCAGGGGCATAAAGCATGTAGGATTTGGGAGACCACGGTAACTAAAGCACGTGTCCTGGTCTGGCTGGGTGCTATGGTGCCCTCCTATAATTTCAGCAATCAGGAGGCTGAGGCAGGAAGATCACAGCTAGTTCCTAGGCCAGCCTGAGCTACATAGAGAGACCTTGCCTCAAAAAACAAGAGTCTTGGTCTCACCAGGGTAAGCAGTGAGACTGCAGAGGAAAGGACTTAGGCTTGGTATGTTGGGACTTTCCTGGCAGCTGTGGCTGCCCTGTTTTGTCTGCTTCTCCAAGGGAGCCGTACTGGGCTCAGGAGTAGTCCCAGGGTTTTCTGATTTCTTTTCTGCCCACTCAAAGGGCAGGGCAGGGCAGGGCAGGGCAAGGCAAGGCAGGGCAGGACCAGGCTAAGCAGAGGATGTGAAGCTGGCTGCTGAGCAGTATGTACTTGGGAGAGGGGGGTTGGCAGGCTCTGGGGTGCAGGCTGTAAGTGAACCTGATAGCTACATTCTGATTGATGGCGGAGTTTGTCTCCTAAACTGTCAGAGGGTTTATAGAGGTGCCACTCACCCGCAAGGCGAGAATTGCTTGTCAGGACACCTGGCGTGAGCAGGAGACTGCGCTGTAACTTGGTGTTTTCTCAGCTTAATGGCCTCGCTGCTGACCTGCCTGCTGCCTCAGATGTGTCAGTGCTTTCCAGCTGAAGGCAGATGAGGATTGTTGGGGGTGGGTGGAGCCAGGCAGTGCCTGGCCTCTTTCTGTGGTGCTGCGTACTGCTGGGATGGCTGGAATCCGAGACCAGAAACCTGAGGGGTAGAAAGGACAGGGAAGATCAGGAAGAAAATGCTTTTCAGGATGGGAAAGATTGAGAGCATTCCAAATCTGGTGAAAGCACGAACAGAGGTCTCAGTGTGTCGGTTACAGCAGGCAGTCTCAGTGCCCCAGAGCACAGGGTTTCTGGCGTGAAGAGAGTGAAGAAGAGATGTTTGTAGGTTGTCACAGGTCCAGCCGAGGAGCCTGGGGTTGGCTGAGCACACAGTGAGTGGGGAGCCACGGAAGATTTTGGAGCAAGGACAAGAAGGGCCAGAACTGTGTGGTATTAATAAGCAGGATAAAGAGTAGCAAGAGGCTTGGTGATGCAGTCAGAACTGCTCCCCTAAGGAGAATACTAAGAAATAAGAATAGGAAGAATGGACAGGAAAGCTGGGTGTCGTTACGCACTCCTATAATCCCAGCACTCAAGAGGCTGAGGCAGGAGGATCGCTGTGAGTTTGAGGCCAGCCTGAATCACATAGCAAGACCCTGTCTCCAAAAGAGAATACACAAGAAGGTTTTTCCACAATCACTGGGCAGAGCCCTGCGCTTTGTCCTTGTTTCTTCAAGGATTTTTTTTTTTTTTTTTTTTTGATTTTTGCTGATCCCCTGGCCACATAGTCTTCTTTTGTCCCTAGCAGGGCTACCAGGCTGGCTAGTGAGGTGGTCTGAGAGGAAGCAGAGCTGAGGGGCAGCTCAGTGGTCTCTGACCATGGACTCTCAGGACAGGTGGTCCCAAGAGTCAGGCCACCTCACAGGGGAGCGGGTCTGGTGTAGCCTCTGAACTCCCCTCTGCCCATTAGCCAGTGTGTGTGGCTTTGCCAAATGCTCCTCAGAGGCGTCAGCCTGGTTGCCTTCATGGTCTGCTTTTGGAGGCAGGTGTGCATGGCTCTCCTCCCTTGTCTGTCCTTTCCTAATCCCTTTATAACTACACTTGTCCAGGAATCTGGGCTGCGTGAGGTAGAAATGAATAATTAATGTCAGGCGCTTCAGACACCAAATATTTGAACAGCTGCCTGGTGTTTTTGCTGGCAAGGACCTGGCAGCCAAAATCAGGATGTTGGCTGAGGGTCCTGCTCCATGGCTCTGATTGGCCTTAGCCAGCCTGTTCTCTCTGATGGACTTGGGAGGCTAGACAATAGGACACAGGGAGAAGAGGGTGCTGATTGGGGCTGACCTTTCACCTCAATCTCTTGTCTTCCAGCTCTTCCTGGACCTGGGAGACAAGTGGCTCACAGGCCCGAGATGGGTGTCTCCTGGGGACCTGACAGTGTAAAAGGGGCAGGTTATAAGCAGAGACCACCTGGAGCAGTATCCAGTGACTGAGAGTTTGAGGTGTACAGAGTGAAGGGACCAAAAGGTTAGAGCAGTGATGGCAGACCTTTTAGAGAAGAGTCCCCAAACCTACTTATTTATCACAAAGTGCCAACACTGCAATTAAACCTGAATACTGAGGTTTTACTTTAAAATGCACATTCATACATTAATATCTTTGGTCTTAAAAATGTGTGCCATAGGTTCGTTACCACCAGGTTAGTCAGGAGCACAAAATGTCTGAAACAGTATATTTCAGCCCCAGGTGTTAGTTTGGCCTTACCTGTCCTCTACCTAGAGGGATCAGGGATCCCCTTGGCCTACTCTTGCTTGCCCTTGACCTTCCTCATACCCTGCTTCCCACAGGCTCTGGCTTTGTCATGTGCAGTGGCAAGGAGAACCCGGACAGTGACGCTGACCTGGACGTGGATGGGGACGACACTCTGGAGTATGGGAAACCACAGTATCCTTGGGCATTATGGACTGGATGGGCTGGGTGGCCAATGGGAAGAAAAATGTAGCTGGTACCTCACCCCAGGGCAGAATCTTGGCTTTGGCTGGGGGAGTTAGCCCTCCTGGTCTACTGCCAACTCAGGTCTGCTGTCCTTGACCACCATGCCAGATACACGGAGGCTGACGTCATCCCCTGCACGGGCGAGGAGCCTGGTGAAGCCAAGGAAAGAGAAGCGCTCCGGGGCGCAGTCCTAAAGCAAGTGTGGGCTGGGCATGGGCTGGATGGGAGGGTGGGAAGCTGGGAGCTGGGCTTGGTGCAGTGCCCACCTTCAGGGCTATCCTGCTGCCGGGCACCTCACCCTGCTGTCTTCGTCCTTCCTCTAGTGGTGGCCCGCCCAGCACCCGCATCACACCCGAGTTCTCCAAGTGGGCCAGTGATGGTAAGTCCCAACCCAGCTGAGCAGTCATGGGGAGAGCCCCAGAGGTTGGGACCACCCAAGCCCAGGCCCTCTCCTGTGCCACCCATCTGGCCAGCAGCTGAGTTACCCTTTTGTCCCCATAGAGATGCCATCCACCAGCAATGGCGAAAGCAGCAAGCAGGAGGCCATGCAGAAGACCTGTAAGAACAGCGACATTGAGAAGTGAGTGTGGTTGGCCAGGAGGGGGCTCTTGCCAGCAGGAAGGCCTGCTGCCAGGGCTTCTGGCCCACCCAAGTGCTGCTCAGTCCTGCTGCCCTGGGCACGCAGCCGGCAGTGGAGCCCAGCTGGTGCTAAGCGTGACTGTGTGAATTGATCGCTGGGCCGCGGCCCCCAGAGCCTTGATGGAGGGAGGAGTGGTCCGCCTGCCTGCCCGCCCGCTGCGGCGGCCTCCGCCCGGGAATGTGATGTATGGCCGCCCAGCCCAGCCGGCGCACTTGATTCATCTCCAGTTTCTGTTTCTTAATCGGAAGCTAAATTGGTTTCATTTTTCTTGTCCCGGGTGGCGCTCACAGTGGGTTTTAGGCAGGAGCATCAGGTCTCATCCTTTCTGGTAGGAATTTTTGGCCAGGGCTCTCCAGCAGGGGAAAAGGGGATCCGCTAGCACTTTACCCAGAGATAGGTGACCCCTGGGTAGATCCCTAGGAGCCAAAAGGATTTGACATCAGGAGACATCTCACTACCCTTCGAGAAGCCCCAGCAAGGCCAGTTCTGTCCCCAGGAGGCGGTGTTGTCCAGTCTGTGCTGCCTGGAGTACCATCTTAGGCCATTGTTTATCTCCCTGCTTCTGCCCCCTCCCTCCAGCTGGAGGTTAGGTGGCCTGGGGTTAAAAGGCAGCCTCTTCATTCTAGGACCAGTGTTCCATCTTGCCTCCTGCCAGGAGAGTGGATTGCAGGCCAGCAGAGGGCTGGGTCGGTGGCCCAGGGTCACCTCCCATTTGTTTCCCTCCATTTTGTGTTGTCATAAATTCATTCCAGCCCGTTGTGGTTGATCAGTTTATCTCGGCCGGGGCCGCAAGTGCTGCTGGCATGATGTATGGGCCGAGGCGCAGGGCCCGGCTGCCCATGAATCACCGCAGCTGCTCTGTGTCAGCGCCGAAGCGGGCCGTACGGGTTCGGCGCAACCAGCTTTGGGGGGGCGGGAATGACGTATGGATGTTTATTTAATAATTCTCTCCTACTCTGGCTGAGCAGGGCGGGCGGGGCCATAAGGGGCGCCCACCCTCGTCTGGAGGGGCTGCTCATAAATCAGAAAGACAAGATCATTAATCAGGGATGGCGCCCATAGGGGAGGTGGGGGCCAGAGCTGGTGGCCGTCTGTGAAGATGCTACCCCCCCTAAAGCTGTGGGGAGCTGGCAGTTCTGTCCCCCCTATGTAAGCACGGGCTCCAGAAGGTAGGACTGTCTGGGACAAGTTGGGGACTGGTTCCCTGCTATGTAGAGGTCTCTTATTAGGTCTGGTCAGCAAGATTGGGGCCCTTCAGTACCTGTGACCTCTATCTTCAACCACAGTATAGGTTTCCACTTTAGGTCTGTTTCACAGACCAGAGAAGGGGAAAAACAGGATGTGGTGGCTTCCTCTAAAAATTTGGTCACCCCATGCTCTGAAGAGACTCAGGGTTGGCTTATAGCCAAGGTGAGTGAGGGCTGGAGGGCTGTTCATCCACCAGGGTACAGGTTAGAGACCAGCTGTGTACTGAGTAAATCTGGGGTACGTAGGCTCTAGACCTGTGTCTTGGCCCTCAGTGTGGCCATGGAGTTTTTGAAATAGGCCTTACTTCTCCCATCTCTGAAATCCCCAGCGTAGTCTGTAGAGAGAAAGCATGGCTTCTGGCAATCCAGACAGGGATGGCACATATGACAGCAGGCACAGTGCCAGAGAAGGAGCCAGCTCTGGGTTCTTGTGAGGAAGGAAAGGGGTATAAGCTTCCTAGACGGAGCCAGAGGATTGAATGGAAGCTCCAGGGAATCAGCCAGTATCAGAAGAAACTACAAGCAGAGCCTTTCTCAGCACCTCAGAGAGAGGCAGGGCGCAGAGAATCATGGAGCATTGGGGTAGTGGATCCAGAGCATCCCAGAACTGGGACGCAGCCATTAGGGAGTGACATCCTGTGCCACTGCTGGCACCCTAAGAGAAGTGCAGAGATGGAAGGTGTTGTATGTTGTTCACCACTACCCTCCCCACAGCCCCTGGGAGCACTTGCATCCAGTGATGACAGAGCACTTGCAGGCACTCAAACTTTCTCCCCAGTTGTCCTCCCAAGCTGGCAGAACCAACCCCAACCCCAGTATTACCTGTGCACATACCATACCTCGCTGTGCTTCCACCTGCAGCCTCTGCCCATGTGGCTTTCATTCATGATAGAAGGCATGTTTGTCTGTTACTTTTTATTTTTTGTTTTTGGGACAGGGTAGTTCAGACTGGCCTTGAACTCACTATGTAGCCCAGGCTGGCCTCAAACTCAGCTGTTCTTCTACCTCAGCCTCCCGAGTGCTGGGATTACAGGTGTGCACCGCCACACCCAGCTGAATGCGTCTTTTAAACCTTAGTTACTCTCTCTTCTTTTCCAACATCCTTAACCACTTCCCATTGCTTGCGAGGTAAGTCTTGGTTCCTAAGCGTGGCACTTGTCCCGCTGGACAAGTCATCTTTCTCACTGTAGGGTCTTCTACCTAGCTACAGGTGAGCCTGCCAGCCAGTCTGTGGTCATGGGCCTCCTGGTCTTTGTTTCTCCTGTTCCCTTGGCCCGGAGACCCAGCTTGTTAGGACCAGTGTGCAGTGATGGTTATTCACACAGCTGAGAGGTTGTTTTGTTTTGTTTTGTTTCGTTTCGTTTTGTTTTGTTTTGTTGTTTTGTTGTGTTTTTTTTTTTCTGGTACCGGGAATAGAACTCACAACCTTGTGCTTGCCAGGCAGACACTGTGTCACTGAGCTAAATCTCCAGCCCCCACACAGCTGAGAGTTGATCGTGAAGTTAGTCTGCCTTGTTGGACTCCCATCTCCCCAAATTTGTGTGAACCTTAGATGGAAGCATAGTTTTTCTGTGCTTTAGTTTCTTCACCTATAAAGTGGGAATATTAGAATCTTCTCATGGGGTTTTGTGAGGTGTAAATAAGGTAATAATTACCAATCCCACAGTATTATCCCTGGCATTTAGTAAGTGCTTAATAAATTTTAGCTATTTTATTTGTATTATTCTCATCATTATTCCCTAAGGCTCACCTCCAGTACCATCATTTCTAGTCTTCCAGAAGCATTTTTCTCCCCATGAGCTCCCCAGGTCCTGTTTACTTGTTTTAGGAAGGATGAGAGGGATCTTTGAGATTTATCCTTGCCATTCCCTGTTCAATGTGGCCCAACTTGGAAAACTTGTAGGGACTTGTGCAGGACTTAGATGACACGCTGAGGACTGTCAGCTCAGAAGACAGTACTAGGGAGAAATCACAGGGCATCCTTGAGGGGGCCAGGCCTGCAGCAGAGGGGTCTGTACCCTGTGGGACTTGTCTCCCCCTTCCCCCGGAGGATGGACTGGCTCCTCGCTCTGCAGACGTTTCCTCGTCCTCACGTGCCTAAAGTAGGGCTCACATCCATAGTAAATACTGAGTAGGTGGGGAGACAGAGGCCCTTGCAGTTTGACTGTTGGTACAGGATGCCCTCGGAGCCCCCGCACTGGTCAGCACTGGAAAAGGTTTCTGAGAGTTCGGCAGAGTTTACTCGGAAGGAAAGCTTGAAATGTTGACAATAAAAATGATGAGATTTGCTTTTAAAAATGTAAGCTGTTGTACATGTGGGCAGAGATGAGGGACTGGAGGAGAAAGGCTGTCTGTTCAGGCTGCCTGAGCGATCCACAGGAGAAACCCCAGGCCCCCAGCCAGAAGTGGCAATATTGGAAAGAAATGGATTCGAGTCACTGAGCAGGGGTAGTTACGAATGGTTCCAGAGAGCAGTGTGGAAATTCACAAGGCAGCTGTGAGAAACAGCGAGGCGCTCTGGTCTGAAGCGTGAGGTTGCAGCCGTGGGACGAGGAAAGGGCAGGCAGGCGGGTGGCTGAGACATGCGCTCCTGGAGTTAGGGGAGTTCAGGTTGGGGTGCCAGCGTGCTGCCCAGCTCTGTGTCCTCTTTATAGAATCACCGAAGACTCCACTGTGACCACATTTGAGGCCCTGAAGGCTCGTGTCAGGGAGCTTGAACGGCAGCTATCTCGGGGGGACCGGTACAAATGCCTCATCTGCATGGTGAGTGGGGCAGAGCGAGGGGTGCTCTGGATCAGGCTTCGCTGTGCCCTGGGGATCAGAGAGGGCCTCTGCACTGTGATCTGGGCTCTGCAAGGATGGGCCCAGCTCAGCGACCCTTCTCCTGCCTCCACTCTAGGACTCGTACTCGATGCCCCTGACGTCGATCCAGTGCTGGCACGTGCACTGCGAGGAGTGCTGGCTGCGGACCCTGGTGAGGAGGCACAGGGGCTGGGGGGGGTGGCTGTGTGGGTTCTGTCCAGATGTCCCTGTCAGGGCTTGTGTCTCCTTGGAGGAGATACGGAGTGGGGGGCAAGGAAGAGTGGGAGCAAAGAACAGAACCAGCACCAGAGAGCTTACCCCACCCAAGCTCCCTGCGTTCCCTCCCAGCCACAAGGTTATTAGATTCTCCCTTCCCCACCCCCATTAGTCTCAGGGCACCACACTGCTGGTGAGGCCCGGGTCGGAGAGGCTGGAGGTGGGCATGCGGGACCAAGGCCGCGCCCCTCCCCCTCCCGTTACTAAGCGCCTTCTGCTCCTGCCCATTCTTCGCTTGGGAGCAGCCATTAAAATGTCGCCCGGAGACAGCAATAAAAGGCCCGGACGTGGGCTCTGTGTCCTGATCAAAGGCCGTGTGTAATCTTGTTAGGGCCGCGGCAGCCACAGCTGGACCCAGCCTTGTTCTCATTACCGGGGCTCCTGCTGCGGGGCTGGCCAGGCGGTTTGATCCTGGTGGCCCCCCAACACAGGAGTATGCCTGCCTTCTCACAGAGGCGGCCTTTGCATCCCCAGCTGGCTGACGGCGCCATGAGCCCCGCAGATACTAGTGCGGGCCAGTGCTCACAGGGATGGTGTGCCACATTGTGTTTAACCAGAGCCCCCTCCCTGCAGGGTGCCAAGAAGCTGTGCCCTCAGTGCAACACGATCACAGCACCCGGAGACCTGCGGAGGATCTACTTGTGAGCTAGCTACCCAGGCACCCTTGCCTTGAGCAGCCCTACACCCCCAGCCTCTGTGTGACAGTGACCCTCTCCCCTTGTACATACTTGCACACAGGTTCCCCATGTACATACATGCACATACACACGTGCGTGTGCACACGCACGTACACGGACTCTGGAGCCAGAGTGGAGGCTGAGGCCCGGGCCCCGCCTGCTGGCTCCCACTAAGCTTGGGGACCATACCTGTTCCAGCCTCTGTTCCCAGGACAGGGCAGGGAGGTGGGGTGGGGAGTAGCAGGGTGAGACTCCTGAGATCCCGCTCCCAGACTGACCGACCGACAGACATGCAGACACCAGACTGAAGCACATGTAATATAGACTGTGTATGTTTACAATGTTGTGTATAAATGGGACAACGCCTTCGTCCTCCGGCCCCTCCCCTCAGTTGTATGATTTTCTTCTTTTTTAAGGAACCTCTGGAAGCAGCGCCTCTGGGCTGGCTGGGGGCTCGGCCCATCCAGCTCTTGGGTTGCCTGCCTCTCCCTCTCCCGTGGCGTCCCTCCCTCTCCTATGTGCTCAGTGTTCAGTGGTGTATATTTCTTCTCCCAGACATGGGGCCCATGCCCCTCGGGACATGATCTTCTCCTTAGTCTTAGCTCACGGGGATCTTTATGAGGAGTTGGGATGGGGCAGGAACTGGGACCCGAGCTAAAGCAGAAGCCAAGGTCTGGGCTGGCTGAGGGCGCTCCTGGGTGCTCAGCCTTTTGCTGAGAACCATTCCTGGGAGTAGAGCTGCTGTTCCTAGGGAAAGGTTGTCTCCCTGCCCCTCCTGTGCGCCCCATGGTGTGATGCTGTGTCTGTATATTCTATACAAAGGTACTTGTCCTTTCCCTTTGTAAACTACATTTGACATGGATTAAACCAATGTAAACAGCTGCTGCCTGCGTATGTATGTTGGGGAGCTGGGGGCTGATGGCAGGGGAAGTGGACTGAGGCAGATTCGGGGTTAATTCTGGGAAGCAGCATGGAGGGATGGACTTAAGAGTTGGTCTGCTTAGGGACCCTGGAGCATTCTGGCTGGGGTGGGGGTGGGGCTTGGGATGTGGGCTCCTGACTATTGATGGGTAGGGGCTCTAGGTTAATTCCTTATTGATGCAGAATCGTCAGCTCATTAATCACATAAGAGGTCAGAGCTTGGGGGTACAGAGGGGATACAAGTTCTGTCCCCCAACCTAAGCCAAGAGCAGCTGCAGGCTTGGGTGAAAACATAAGCTTCGGGTCTCTGTCCTTTTCTGGTCCCCTGAAACGTGCCAGGGATCACAATGGATGCCTGTCAAGCCTCCCAGATTTTCATTATAGTCATCCTAGTGCCTCAGCCCTCCAGAGGAAACAAAAGTCCTGCTATCCAGTGGATCCCCAAGTTGGGAGCTGCAGCTGGGCCACTAGCACTAGCAGTGGGGAGCTTTGTCGGTCATTCCACAGCTCCCCACTGCCAGTGAGGCAGGTGCTAAAGCTCAGGTGGGTCGTCACCCACAGCAGAAATACGTGAGTAAATTAGATCCTGCTAAAGTCGAAGGGCCCAGAGTCCATGGCTCCAAACTTTTCAACACATTCCCACGTGCCCGCCTTTGACACCCACCCCTAAAATGCTCACGCTGAATACTACCGAATGCAGTCTAGTCAGCTCCTGCCCCTGAACCCAGGGAGGCACAGACGACAAGCTGTGCGTGGTTGGAGCCCAACAAAGGCCCTGCGCAGCCCCACGCCCAATTTGATGGCACTCAGTATCCTAAACACAGAGATCCTGGGCCCTCAGATCACAAGGACTGCATGTGGCCACTCATGAAGTTCAGGGGTGGCTGAGGGTCTGGAAGGAGGTGGCAGGTATGGAAGCACAGACAGGACCTGAGGGCAGCGGGTAAGATGAAGAGGGGCTCATAAAGCGTCCTGCCAGAATGCGTGCTTTTTGACTCTACCACCCCCTCTGCCTTGGACTTAGTAGGACCTTGATGGCTGCACACTGCCATCCGGGACCGTATGCACTCTAGTGGGACACCCTGACCCACCGCGGGCATTCCACTGAAGCTTACCAGGCTGTGGAAGCGTGAGCTGTCTCATGGCACGGACAGCACTGCCACCTGTTGGCCACGGCTAGGAATCACAGCCACAATAGGATGATTCCGAGGGCTGCTGCACTGCAGGTGGCACTTGGCCCTGGGAACAGAAAGTCTTATCACCCCCAGAATATCAGGGGTTAGCTCCCACTCAGAGCTTTCTAGCCGTCTTCATTGCCTGCCACAGTTCCAAAGCCCTCCCTGACTCCAAGCCTCTTGGCACCCCAGTAAGTTCCATCAGCAACTATTTATTAAATCCCACTTTGTGCCAGCATTGTACAGCAGTGACTTGCAGAATGACAGAAGTACCGAACACAAGACTGAAGCCACCTCTTCACCTGGAGAGTATCAAGGAGTCGAAGGTGCTTGTTATTTCAACCAGAATTCCCCATATCCTGGTTCTAGTCCTAGAGCACAGAGCCAACTCACTGCAGCCCCCATTACAGCACAGCTGCCTTCCTGTGGCCCCCGTCCACCTACCCCACCACACACAGCATCCCCAGACCCAGTGGACTCCTACCTGAGGTGTTGGAGCTGGGCAGCCCTGAACCCCGAAGCCTCAGCTCCTGTGCTGTCAACCTCAGGCTGTAGGGCCGAGGTCAGGGCAGCCTCCTCTGAGGGAACGAGCGAGGAAAACCCCCAGGAAAATGCTTACATAATCAGGTTTGCCCTCTGGAACAGAGGAACACAGAGTTCCTCCCCTGCCCTCAGTAACCTCGCTGTAAAGCTGACCTTCCATTCAGCAAATCCAAAGTCTAGCCACAGGTGTAAAGTTTCAGTTATGCAAGATGATTCAATTCCTGAGATTTGCTACACAACACTGCACTTACAATGTGTACTGTATTTTTTTTTTTTTTTAAGTACTAGAGATGAAACCCAGGGATGGGCACTGAGCTGCATCCCCACACCTTATTTCTTTTAAATATTGAGACAGAGCCTCACTAACCTGCTAAATTGCTCCAGTTGGGCTTGAATTTGCAATCCTCTTGCCTTAGCCTCCCATAGTGCTGGGATTACCATCATGCACAACACCCAGCAGACACTTGGATTTTTAAGGCAGAAGAGACCATGTTAAGGATTCTCAGAATTGGTTTTTTTGTTTTTTAGAAAGTCAACTCAGATTTATCTTTAACCATCTCCTGGCTTTATTAATCTTTTATAACCTGAAAGCCACAGGAATCAGCAGCCTAACTGCTATACTAACCAACGGCAAGGCTGCCACAGAAACCTGCCCAGGCGTTCCTGCCCCTAGGACTCTCGGTAAGCAGACCACCCCAGACCCCCAGGACAGATGAGGTTGAAGAAGGTGTCAGGACCTCAGTAGTGGACACAGTTGTGCATGAAGTCGACACAGAGGCTTGCATAGTAAGTAGGGTAGTCACGGAGGTGACTGACATGTGCAGATGACACGAAGTCCACAGAACGCACCAGGACCTGGTGGCCCAGCCGTGCTTCCACCATGCGTTCCACGTCCCTGGCCCGGACCACCGTGTCGGCCCTTGAGTAGAGGTAGAGCTCAGGCCAGTGGGAGCCTGCATCCTGTAGGCTGTCATAGAAGTGGGTGTGGAAGAGGCCAGTGAGTGGCGCAAGCAAGATGTGGAACAGGACTACCACCAGGGCGAAGGCCACCAGAAGCAACAGGCGCAGCATGGCAGGTCGGTGCTCCAGGATGACGGATAGGGCTCGCAGGGCCCCTACGAGGTTGCTATCACCAGGACCACTGTCAAAGACGGCGCCCACCACACGCAGGTGGCAGAAGCGCACATGGGTCTGCAGGAGCTCAAGCACATAGCGGTACAGCATGGCACCAGCATTGCTGAACACGTGGAAAAGCAGGGGCTCCCGCTCAATCTCATAATCAAAGAGCAGCTCAAGCAGCTTCTGGGCCAATACACGAAGTGAAGGGATGCCCAGAGACTCAGAGAAGAAGACCACGTGCCATGGGGCCGTGTATCGGATCACGATGCAGCCCTGGGGAGAGGAGAGAGGACCAGTCAGTCCCCAGGGGCATTGGGAGGGTTAAGTCACAGGGGCCCAACCAACCCAACTTCCAGAGCACCCACAAATTCCAGCAATGCTTCAGGCCCTGCTTCCACCAGGTGCCAGCCCACTACTCACCAATGCAGGTGCCCTTTCAGACTGGAAGGTACACCTGGCCCATTGCTGGGCTCGCTGCTTCATGCTGGCCACACCTGCTCAGCCTGGGAGGTGTTTGAGGCCTACACTGGGAGCATGTTTTAGAGACACCCGGAATGACCAGGAGATTCTTCACACTGGTTCCCCACATCTGCCCTCCCCCCGCCTCCACCCCAGACCTGGCTCATGCGAGACTGTCTGCTCGGCCACACCCTGTGCAGCGACTGCCCTGCCCTGCCCAGACTTAGTAGGCATCTCCATGAGACCGACGACTGTGGGCTCTGCTTGACAGCCACAGACCTTCTGAGCCGGGGCCACGCATGTCCATCTCTGGTCACTCCCCAGCCCCCACCCCTTCCCTAGGCACTGAAAGAAGAATCTATACTGTCAGGATTCAGAGGCCTGACCCCCATGGCCCTCTCTGGTTCCCAGGTCTACAACCACTCCTCACATGCACCCTAGAATTCCAAATATAGTGAATACCGTTGTTTCTCATTTCTAAAATCTAAGCCTGAGCTGTCTTTGCAGTTAGCATCCCTCACTGTCTAGGACCCCAAAACCTTCACATAGGTCCCTTTCTAGTTAGAAAAGAAAAAGCCACCCTGCCTGGGTCCTAAGCTCCCCTCCTTACCCTGTGCTAGCAAGAAAGTATCTTTGTTAGGGGAATCTGAAATGGGCACACTCAGGTCAGACAGGCTGGCTTTAACTCCTGGCCCGGCCACTTATTAACAGCATGGACAAAGAGCAATTTCTTCCTTCTCTCTGAATCTGCATCCCCATCTATAATCTGGATAACACTCATCTCACAAGACCATAGTGGAAATTAAATGGGAAAAAATGTACTTCAAGTGACCAAAACAGCACCCAGTACAAAGTAAACTCTGAACCAGGAGTAGCAGTGAGCAGCGATAGCAGTAACAACAACCAGAAAACTGTGGGCACAGTTCCTGAATGACCCAAAGCCCAACACTGAGGTCACCTGCTATAGCCTGACTTGCTAGGCCCTGTAGCTCCTGACACTCTGAAGAGAGGGGTGTCACTTAAGGTCTCCCACATTCCTAAAGGATCAAACATGACAGGAAAGTACCCATGCACTTTTCTCCAGGCAGCACTGGGGCTACAGACTCCTGGAAATGCTGCCTTGCAGCCCAGTCTCTTCAGTATGTCAAGAGAGACTTTATTGATCACCAGAAAAGGAGCTCAAGGAACAAAAGAACCAGATGCAATGTATGACCCTAGCCTGGATCCTAGTTTGAGCATATCAGCCATAAAGGATGCTTTGGGGACAAATTGGGCATCTGAACATGGACTGGAAAACTAGATGAGATGAAATTTTATTACCATGAGACAGTGGAGATCATGATCTAAAAAAGCAGGCTGCAAACCGGTCCACCCAACAGATCTCCTTCAGGCAAAGAGAAGATCGTAGGGGAAGAGCCTGGCAGCATGTACCTACCCTACAAGGTAAGCAGAGGTAAGGTCTGGGTGGGAGAATACGGTGTTTTCCTTTTCTCTGAAATAACGAAGTACTGGAGCTTTGGACTGGAACATTTTTTCTTCTCAGCCCCCCAATCCCAACCTTCCCAGGGTGAGGGCAGCCCCTTCCTTCCCAAGGCTGCCCTCACCAACCCTGCAAACTCAGCCCCTCTGCCTTCCTTGGGATCTTGCTCCACCCACCCCACCCCCACACCTTCTACCTGCACCACGCCTTTACCCCTCCCCCACAACAGTCCCCTTCCCAGAGACCTGCTTTCAGTGGATTCTGTCACAGGCGCCTGAGTTTCCCTGTGCATCCCAGGCCATACCTCCTTCCCTCCTTTCCTCTTCATCTTCCACTCCCACTGAAGCCTGGGTTCCTCAGGGCTGTACCAGGCATACTTCTTTCCTTTTCCACCTTCCCTGGGGATCTCTTCTGCCCTAGAGCCTACAAATTTGCTTCAAATTCTCCTGTCTCAAAAACACCCCTTCTCGGGCCAGGGATATAGCTCAGCGGCATAAGCACCTGCCTGGCAAGCACAAGGTTCCGAGTTCGATTCTGGGTACAAAAAAAAAAAAACCAAGAAAGTGCCCAAGTCAGAAACCAGGCATGACCCTGCACCCCGCCTTCTCCCTGCTCACTCCAAACCTCTCCTTACCACCCAACAATCTCAGGCACCCCTCATCTTCTCCCACCTGCACCACCAACCCCAGTGTCCGGAGCCCCCTCTGCCTGCATCACTGCAAGCCCCTCCAAACTCGCTTCTGGCTCCCAGCACCCCCAAACCTTCCCCATTCTACAGAGAGGGCTTTCCCAATGGCAAACACAACATCACACCCCAGTACAAAGCCCCTCAGGGCCCCCACCTGGCCTCACTCTACACACACTTTCTTTCCTTCTCTATTCTAGGCATACTCAATGATTCCTGCTCCTCTCTTGCCCTCCAGAGTCTTAGTCTAATGCAGATGCCAGAAGAACAAGCCCAGCCTAAGGTGGAATTCAGGAGCTAAAGCTGCCTGCGGAGTGAGGCGATCTGCAAAAGGCAATACCAGGGCCTGAGGAGGCTACAGACTCAAACCTACATTTCTGCCAGGTCCGGTGCCACACACCTGTAACCCCACCTACTGAGGAGACTGAAGGTGGAAGACTGTGAGTTTGAGGCCAGCCTGGGAAACTTAACAACTTAGTGAGACACTGTCTTAAAAAGGGCTGGGGAAGCAGTTCAGTGGTAGATCACTTGCCTACCATGGGTCCAATTCCTAGTATCACCAAAACAACAAAAAAAAACCTCTCCTTTTCTCCCCCAGCCCTTCTGCCATTTCAGGACCTCCACGCCCAGTGGCCAGAGTACGGATGTGGACCAGTGAAGGGAGCCCTGCTAGGGCTCTCTCTGGTACCACAATCTGCCCATCCAACTCTGCATGCAGCCTAAAGAGAGGCCCCATCACTCAGGATGGGAAAGGTCAGTCCCAAGTCAGACACTTACCTAGTCAGAAAGGAGGAAGTCCTGAGAATATGAAACAGGAAGGGAGGAAGGGAGGCAGCTGGGAGGACTGAGGGCCACTGAGCTGGCAGCAAAGGGCGACAATGCCACCAAAGTCCCCATGACCCCACTGTTTTCCTCAAAGGCCATCTGGACAACAGTGCCACGGAAGTCAGGCTTCACTGCAGCTCTGAGGGAAGGCTCAGTGGCTCAGGCTCCCCACAGAGGTGGTCAAGTGGCACACGGGGACCCACTGCTTGGGGTACTCACCCTTTTATGGTAGATGGCGCTGTACTTGGCCAGATTCTTATCCCTGCAGCCACCCCAGCCCAAGAGAATCACCACAGGCTGTCGTGTCCTCGCCTCCTTCCCACCTTGGCTGGAGCTGTCCTCTGAAACACAGACAAGAGACAACGTGAGAGGTAGGAGCAAGCTCCACGGTGGCCAGAGGCAGGCAGGAAACCAAGGGCGCCGGGCCCAGGCCCCCCGCTGGCTCCTGTGCCCTAGGCTCCCACGGGACCCCTGCCTTTCTGCAGACCTCTCAGGAGGCACTGTAGTGACCCTGAAAAGCCCACGAGGCACCTTTCCTTAGTGCCACAAAGACGGTCCAGGAGGGCAAAGTGACTGTCTTTTCCAGGCAAACCATGCAAACCATCAGACCATGACCCACGGGCCCAATAAGGCCCACTGCCTGTTTTTGTATGGCCTATCCACGGAAATGGCTTTTAGATTTTAACTGGTTAAAAATAATAATAATAGTAATAATAGTGATATGGGAAAATGTGAAATATGAAAATATCACTATGTGAAAATATATGATATATGAAACTATCACTAAGATATAGTGATATATGAAAATCTATGTGAAATTCAAATTTGTGTGCCCATAATAAAGTCTCACTGGAACACATCCACACTCATCTACTTTACATCTACTTCATTTATTGCCTGTGACTGACTTTTCACACTAAACCAGCAGTGGCGAAAAGTTCAACACAGACCACATGGCTCACGTAGCCTAAAATGTTACTGGCCCTTTATAGAGAAAGGTTGTCAGTCTCAGTCCTAATTCCATGAACAGATGGAAGAAGAAGGTTTTAGGAGGAGAAATGGAGAGACCAGGATAAGCAGGGACATGAGAGACTGACTCTGGCCCATACCAAGTTACTGACTCTGTCCTGTCCCATCAGAAAGCAACATACCCTACGTGTACCGAGGTTTAATCTTCACAACACTAGTAAGGAAGCGTTCTTACTCTGGATGAGGAGGCTGAGGCAGGCTGAGGTCAAGGGGCTTACCTCGGGTGACAGAGCTTGGGAGTGTGGAGATGGGCAGCTGGCCCATGCTTCCAGCCCTAAATTCCGTAGTCCTTCTGGACCATATGGATAAATATCTCCTTCGGTGATGTGCAAAGAGGCTCAAGCCTGAGGCCTCCACCACGGCTGCTTCTACAGAGGCGTCCCGGCAACCTTGTACAACAGATGCTGTCTCATTTCTCCTAAGAAGTGAATGCCCACCCACTTGGGGACATCTGTGCAAAGACCGTCTATAGCTAGAAGTCTGCTCTGCCGAAAGAGCCAGCATGCACCTTTCCAAGGACCAAGCCACTTGGCCGTGCTCAGCTGCCACCCTGAAATTTATGGATGCCGGTAGTGACCTGGCAACAGTAAATTTCAAGGCTAGTTAAGAGGATGGTAAACATAAATCACTAACCTCGAGACAAAAGGAAGACAACAATTTCCTCTGAAAATTAATGTGATTGAAAAGTTCAATGTTCCTGCTCCCTAGTAGCGGGACTCTGGCCTTCAGAGATTAACTGCCTGCTCGAACAGGGATCCGAGGCTGGTCACAACTCAGCCTGCGGCATGAGCTGCCAGTGCCTCAGTCCCTCGCCGACACCTGCCGGCCCTCCAGCCCTCCACGCTCGGCCTGCATCTAACTTGGTTGTGCCTAGACAGCCTGCATCTCCCTGTCTTCTTCCACACAGCTCTCCGCCTGGCCTTGCCTTTCAGGGAAGAGGCAATATTGGCCTCACGGGAGCCCAGACTAGTCCTGGCCATTGTGAAGCTCTGGCTGCAGTCAGCTGTAGCTGCCATTTGGACCTACTGAATCTGAGAAACACTGGATTCCCGATGGCTGTGCACAGAGGCTCCCTTGCCTCTCTGTGCAGCTATCTGAGCATAGGCTCCCCTCCCCCAGCCGACAGAAGCCCTCTCAGGGTCCCCCACTGAGATACCAGCAAAGGGCTCTGGGGTTTCTCAAATACAGAGCAAGTTGCCAAGAGAGGTCACATCCACTGGTGGCTGCAGAATGACAAGGCCAGTCTCATGAGCAGAGATGGGGCATTTCCAATCCCAGAGGGTTAAAATAGACTCTACTGGGCCTCCAAACTGCCCCTCCTTCCAGTTTGTAACTATGCTTTGCACCAGATTCACCAGCTTTTGCTGGCACCCTTGGCAGAAATTATTTTCTACCAGCTATGCAAATCCAGACACTGGCATCCTGCGCACTCCCAGGGACCAAACTTCCCCACCTAACGTTCTTAAAGGGGAGGAGCCCACCCAGCCACTCTCCAGCCTGGGTCTCAAGTGCTCTTCCTGCCCACAGGCACCTCCTGCATTCCTGCCACATGTTCCTCCCAGTGCCCCACGCTTCACTGTCCACTCCTCACTCACTCCCAGACACTCCCTCTCCCAGCTGGTGCCCCTCCTGATTCTAACTTGCTGGTGCTAGAACCCCAGAAAACCCACTGTGCCCTGGAGGAATGGCTGGGAGAATGACAGTGGCCAGGAAAGCTATCCCAAAGGAGGACACATTTGCTGCACGGCCTGAAGGCCCACCAGGCACAAGGCAGGTGGCAGAGGACAGGAGCAGAGCAGGGGCGGATGAGATGTTACAGTCCATCTGGGGCACAGTAAGCCATGCTGGGGGTGCTAGAACTCTGGCCCAAAGAAGATACGGCAGTGGGCACTACCGTAGAAAGCTGAAGCAGGAAGATCACAAGTTCAAGACCAGCCTGGGCCACTTCGTAGGACCCTGTCTCAAAATAAAATTAAAAAGGCCTAGCCAGCGATGTAGGTCAGGAATAGAGCACTTGCCTAGAATGTGTGAGGCCCTGGCTTCAGCCCCACCCCAATATGAAGGAAGGAGAGAAAGAGAGCAGGGCAGGCCTAACCTTGTTTAGGAGTTGGGTTTTATTTATTTATTTATTTATTTATTTTAAGAGAAGAGTATATTTATTGAGGGAAAGAAAGCTTCTGTCCAAGAGAGGGACAGAAAGGGGGCCCGAGTGGGTTGCCCCAGGAGTTGGGTTTTAATCCACAGGAGTGGAGAGTGAGTAAGATTCAGAATCGGAGAAGTGGCATGACACATTCAGTGCAGATTAATGATTTACACAACTTTCTGCTTAACACCTGTCTCTCTCCCCTTACCCAGCAGGTTCTGCGAAGGCAGCAGGTGGGGGCCATCGGCTAGCATGACATGCCCAGCATTCCCAGCGGTGGCAGAGCAGGCGCTCAGTTATATGCTGAGTGAGCGAACACCCGGTAGCAAAGCAAAGGGTGGCTCCAAGGAGAAAGTGCCGGCACCCTTGCTCCCCACCACCCTGCCCAGGGTAATGAGAGTGACTGCCATGGCTGCTGTCACCTACCTCTGCACCCAGGCCCA